TCCAGCCCTCACTGCCAAAGTCATCAGGAAAAGGTGAAGGAAAATGCAACGAATGGATCAACTACCATTCATATGTATCACACACACATACATCTCTTAATTTCTCTCCACAATTTCAGGATTTCCCTCTCCTGGGGCTCATTCCTCATTAGTGCTACAACACCAACATAGAGAAGCTGCATACCTTTAATTATATCAATTATCCTTAAAACCATACTCACCCTCCATCTTCAATGCCATTAAAATACATTAAATATGCGTTTTGATTTAGCAGACTTAATTGAATGATAGTTATTAAAGTGACTTTGAAACTACTAAAATTAAGTGGATTACAGATGACCGTCTTCCTCAGAACTGTTACATCAAAATTGCAGTCTCAGCAGGTTACAGTGTTGTGTTCGAGGACAAAATGTCTGTAAAATACATTTCTAAAAATCATCTGTAGTCACTGAAGTCACAGAAATCCCTCATGGGCTGAAAGGGCAGCAGAGGGTGAAGTACGCACCACAGAGGCAAGGTCCTCCTCATCTTCCCACTGATCCCACCACAGGAGCTCAGGTGAGTCAGTCACCTCATCAATACCCTGTTCCAGCCACTGCAAACTCCACAGAATTGGGACTGCCTTCGACAAAACACATGTACAGGGGCACTCTCACCTCCAGGGAGCCTGTAGGTGGCAAAGTCAGAAACAAGGCTATGGTGAGAACTGTCAGAAAATGTCAAGTCTACAGGAGCTGCACTGAAAGATCACAGTTCTGACATTGTGACACACAAAAAAGATTAATAGTACTCCTTATATGATGTGCATATAGAAGCTAGCAAAAAGGACCCTAAAATGGGTTTCTTGTGCATATTTGGAGGCTTTAACTGTGGCTCAGTTCTACAGAGAGAGAGCTAGCAATTCTCTTTAAGATGGCTATTGAGTGACAGAAGTAAAAGAGAAAGGCACTTTTGAAAAGAAATATCAAAGACAAATCCACCTTTTAGAGAGGGCAGCACTCACATTTTGCTTATTATCTGAGTCTTCATGAAATCAGCTCTAACACAGCCTAAGATCTGGCTCAGTAACGATGGGTTTGGTGTAGTTTTTTATTGGTTTTTGGGGTGTATTTTTTAGTCCTTTAGAAATTATTTGAGCTGTCCTTGATTTATTTAGCCTTGGTATCCACAACTGCAGAAACAACAACTGTTTCAGCTTACATTTATGGAGTCTGCAAACAGGGACAGGAGAGAGGAGATAGTGAAGCAATTCAGCAGCAAGGACCAATAACTTTTCACAAGACCTGTCTATCAGCTGCAGCCAGTATAAATCACCACCTTGTGCACAATTGTCTCATCTCTTACCTCCCAGCATGTCAGCAGTCTCAAAACTAACTGCCCAACAGAGTCCTTCAAACTTGTCCCATTCCCCCAAAACACCAGGACAAGGGGTGTCCAACTAACAGTACAGTTTAAGCATGTGTTCCATCAGTGTGTCAAGGTCAGAAAGCATCACAGAAAAGAGTGGTTTATCTGCTCAATTTTATTTTAAAAGCTTATGCTTAACTTCTGTGCGTAAATGTTCTGTGAGACTGTAAAGTCTAGTACCAAAGGGGACATCACTCACCCCATGTGCTTCTGGACCTGGCACTGGGATTTCATTCTTTCCCATAAGATACAACTGGCCCAGTGATCACAGCATCCAGGCAAATATTCTCCATGAAGGACCATTTTGGAAATGATGGTACAGACAGTTACTCTGTTAGCAACTACGCTGGGTTTAGCAGTGGCAGAATGAAATCAAATGGTAACACAGCAGTACAGCACAGACAAATGGCGGGTTCTTTGACTCAGCCTTTTCCTCATATTCCCTCTTCTCCCATCACTTCACCCACAACACTGTTGGTACAGACAGGGCTCTGGGCAAAGGCAGCGTCCAATCACCACATGAGCAATTCCTGCTGAAGACATTTTTGCAGAGCCCAGTGCTAAAAGAGCCAGTGAACACTGAACACTGGTATTTTGCCTGCAGCTGGCACTTGGCTCTTGTGACTGCTATTAGCAGTATATGGCTTTATAAAAATTATTTCTGACCTAATGTGCATGTTGCCTCAATTTTTCACTTGCCCTGAGCAGAAGCTCAGAATGAAATCAGTTTAATAGAATAATTTTACTGCGTGTAGATTTTGTCACAAGTATTGCTTACAGGATTACAAAACTCGCTCTCTTCAAAGCACAGCTGGGATCTAAATTAAGCCTAGAGAAAATAGCTAGAACTCTGCCAGCCTACAAAGTGATGGTATTATTCTCTTATATTGGGCTTCACTGGCACACAGATATACCCACTGGGCACTAAAATCCAGTGTTACAGAGTTGGTGAGACTTGGCTGTTTCATAATAAAATTTATTGCTTCTATTTATTATTTTCCCAAAGAAGAAACCAAGCTGAGAACATAAAAACATAGGATACATCAGAAACCATGTTTGTACTGTGATTTCAAGAAGAAAAGCAATTTGAGTAGCAGAGATGGGATATAAGAATACCCAAATGCAGAACTCTGATTTCTCTTCTGTTTCTAGAATTACATTATGGTATTCCTAGCACCAAGAGTTCAGGGAAAGAAAAGAGGAATGCGAATGCTAAAATCTCAAAAATACAATTCATTGTGCAAATGTGGAAAAAAATAAGATGATGCTCTTTTGTTGTGGTATGACTTCCAGAGTGAATGCTTTATGGAAAACAGTGTCAAGATATTCACAATTTGAAATGACTGCTAACATGCAGAGATATGAAACAGAGAGTAACAGTTACAGGAGAAACACCTTCTTTAAAACAGTCTTATTCACTCTAGGACCTTCTTTTTCACATCATATTTTTAAGAAATCCTTAATTTAGATGAAAAAACATCTTCCCTCGTCTGCTCCTCTCCCTTCTCTGCACTTTCCACTACATTCCCACCTAAGACAGAATCACATCCACCCAATGCCCTCTAGCAGTTTCACAAATCACATTCTCCTAGAAAGGTAAAACTTGGTGAAATTATGCTAAAATAGACACACTACACTTGCAAAGTCAAGTGCCCAAGAGCCAGTAAATGCTAAAAATAAGCAATCCAGGACCCATGGGCATTTACGTTGCAGTAGCATTGTCAGCTTACTAGATAAAATGATTTTTAAAATCACCCTGCCTTGCTCAGTGCACCAACAGGCTGGGCTCACTGAAAAGCAATCATTCAATATCTTTGTTGTTCAGTGATCCAGGCCTTCTCTCCCTTGTGCTCTTCTAATCCTGTTCTGAAGGCAGGAAAGCCCATCAGGAAACAACTATTTTGATCATATCTTTGCTGCAGCATTCAGGTAATCTCACAGACGTTTATTTGCATTTATTTTACAAAAGCTATTATGTGGTGCAGGTTTTGTGATGCACAGTACAGAGCGAAGAATAAGCGAGGATTCATTTGAGGTGCTCATAACTTGCCCCGCTGCTGAGTTTCAGAGTAGTCTGTGCATTTGGCGTTATTTTCATATTCAAAGTAGAGTTTCCACCTGGCAGCACTGTGAACAGGAGCTCCTCTTCATTTATGCAAATTGACTCCCAGGCAAGGAAAAGACTGTGTTATTGCCGCCTGTGAAAAGCTGGGTGCAAGTGATTTGCCCGTCGTCACACCCTATCACGTGGCAGTGGCAGGGATATAACTTTGCTCTCTTAAATACTGTTTGTTGTACACACACTTTCATTTTACTACCTGCCATTCCAGAACCCACTCACTGATTCTCCTAGACAACCGTTTTCTGTTTGGGTGGTTTTTTTTGGTTATTTTTTCAGTACATAAATGTTGCCTAGGAAGGTTTTCTAAGTGTTTTCTGCAGTCGGCTGGAATTTCTAAATGCACAGCAGAATAGCTCTGGTCGGATAAGCTCTATGGGCAGTAATCCTTGGCATGTCCTGCACGTAAATACAGTTTTACCATGTGGATGTGGCACAGTTGCTGCGTTCCAGAAAAGAATAAAAACCCTCCCGGGCACTGCTGGGTTTCTGGATTTCGTGTGAACTCACACACGTTGCCTCCTGAGGAATTCAGAAAAACCCACTGGGAAAGAGCTGTTCTTATCACGCTCTTTGCTGCAGCATCCAGGTAATCTCACACGCATTTGTTTGCATTTCTTTTACAGAAGCCATTATGCGGTGCCAGTTTTGTGATGAACAGCATACAGCGAAGAATAAGTGAGGATTAATTTGAAGTGCTCCCAACACAGTTTTACCTGCAATGAAATAGGGGATATTAACCTCCCATGCCCTGCGACAATTCGCCCTCAAAGCCCGGTTTTCCCTGACTCAACCCGCAGAGATTATCATCGAGATGATCTAGAGCCTAGAAATGTGCAAAGACCCCAGGAAACACCCGCAACTCGATGGCTCACGGTGTACTGCAGGAGTATTACACATATACTGAACAACACGCACCACTCGCCTCTTCCCATTACAGGAAAGGGCGGCTGAGGTAAGATGGGCATGGCTGGGGCAGTCACTGCGTGTTTTACTGTAGGTGTTCTTAATAAACTTCAGGGAAGAAAGCACTGAGGGGAGGGACAAGAATAAAGACAAGGACAGCGACAGGAGCAGGGCAGGGACAGTGCCCTCCCCTCACACCCTCACAGCCACAGCCCCCGCCCCTCACAGGGGCGGACAGGGCGGAGCCGGCGGTCTCGCTCTCTGATTGGTGAGTTAACTGTCAATCACCGCTCCGTCCCGCCCCGTCGCGCATCAATTGGTCGAATCAGCTGTCAATCATCCTCGCCTGCTCGCCACTCCCCTCCGCGTTCCCGGTGCGGGGAGGAAAATGGTGCAGAGGCACCTCGCGATCTGATTGGCCGAATGGAAACGCCACTCAAAGCGAGACCCCGCCCTCCGCTGCACAGCTGACCGCTCAGCCCCGTGACCGGGAAGGGCTGCGATTGGTCAGTTCCGCAGAGTCCCGCCCAGCCGCGCGGAATCCCTCCCGCGGATTGGCTGCGGCCGCTGTCCGTCAGCGCGGTGGGCGGGGCGCTGTGAGGTGTCCGTGGGACGGGCGGCCCGGCGGCGGCTCACGGCGGACATGGCGGACACGGCGCTGCGGCTGGCGGCGCTGCTGGCGGCCGTCTGTGTGGCCGGTGGGTGGGCGAGACAGCGCGGTCGGGGGAGCGGGAGGGGCCCCTGCGGGGGGAGGCTGCGGGAAAGGGGCTGGGCCGCAGCGCTGGGGAAGGGGCGCGGGGAGGGAAGCGGGGGGGGTGTCTGTCTGTGTGTCTGTCTGTGTGTCTGTCTGTGTGTCTGTCTGTGTGTCTGTCTGTGTGTCTGTCTGTGTGTCTGTGCCAGGTTCAGGAGGGAGGGGTGGGAGCAGGGGGCTGTCATCGTGCTGCGCCTCCCTGCCCCCTCTCTCCCACCCACCTCCAGACACGGTGCTCGAACACTTCCCTCTCCCTTTCTGTCCAAGGTCTGCTTTACATTAAATCGTAAATAATATAAATTCCTTACATAACTGTATCACTTATATAAATTTATTATTAAAATTAATACGTATTTTATGCTTTTATGTCGTATACACAATACAAAAATACACCTTCCATAATATGTTTCAATGTATATAAATTATATGCAACAAAATATAGTTGTATATGTATATTTACATACATTGTATATGAATTATATTACAGTCCAGTTTTATAAGCTGAGACAAGGGAGATTCGGATCAGATATTAGTCAGAAATGTTTTCACTGTTGGGGTGGTCGGGCACTGGAATGGGTTGCCCAGGGAGGTGGTGGAGTCACCACCCCTGGAGTTGTTCCAGAGGCTCTGGATCTGCTGCTGGGTGATGTGGTGTAGGGGTTTAGGGGTTACGGTGGCAGTGCTGGGTGGATGGTTGGACTGGGTCATCTCAGAGGTCTCTCCCAACCTTGGTTCTGTGATAAACACACCTTGTTTAGTTGCTCTGTGTGAATTTTCATGTTTTGCTGAGCTGCTTTCGTGGTCACTACAGGGTTCCTGTCACCTGCTGTGGGTCAGGCTTGTGATGACACTTGAAGGCCCTGTAAATAGTTTTCACTCAATATTTCTTATTTCTCCAGGTTCACAAGGGCTTTTGAGAGCTTGAGGTAGAATTTCGGCAGGGTGGGAATTTGGTTAAGTGTTCCCAGGGCAATTACAGGGACTCTGCTTGTGTTCTCATTTTCCAATTCAGTTTTCATCATTGAAATCTTGAACAAGGGAAATTTAAATGGTTTTACCCACCTGAACAGTCTAGCCCCAAGTAAGCCAGTTTTGTCCAGCATGACTTGTGACTCATGTCTCACAGCAGTGGAGAGCAACACGTGAAATCCCACAGATTTGTAGCCATTTTTGTAAATTCCTTTCCAAAGAAACTGGCATGGAAATATTTCTGTCCTTCAAAATTGTAATTAATTTCAGTTGGCATTAAAATTGCACCAGGCCATCCAGTGAACACATCAATTTAAATCAAAAAGCGCTCAAATTTGCTTCACATGCATGGATTGGTCTGGCCTGCTTCCTTCCTTTTGCCACCCTTGCCCAGCCTGCACGGCAGAACTTTGTCCTTTCCTGTGTTTATCACAACACAGCTCAGGTTTACTGTCAGCATTTGTATGCATGGTCATGACCCAGGCTTTAAAACAGCATCTTCAAGGTCACTGTGGTTAAATTTAACATTGGGGAAGATTTTAGCTGCGCAGCACCCCATTTTGCTCTCGCGTTATTTTTGTAAATAGCTTTTAGATTTGTAGATCTTAGCCTGGGAAAACTACTGTGTACTGCTGCTTGGATTGGTAACCAATTTTCAGTGATCACATGACTAAATGGCTTTATTTTCTTTAGGCAGTTGTTCATATAATTTTGAAGCATGCAGTCAGACACATTTTATGATTAGAACTTCAGCTTAGAGGCCTGTGAATATTTACTACCTGATTTTCTCATATCTTGTGTCAGATCAGTTTTCTGTTGGAAACCTTCTCAGATTGGTCATTGAGGAGCACATGCCTGAAGTTTTGCATTGTGCGTGTGTCACTGCTTACATACACTAAATAAGTTTTAAAATTTATTCACACAAATTTTTGTGTACACAGTGTTGCATCTCTGCTAAAGCAACTTCAGAGGAGGAAGCCAGGTTGAAACAAGCCCACGTCTTACACCTATGGAGTCCTTTCTGACTTTATTACACAGTAAATTACTCTCACCACAAAACAGTTGAAAAATGTGCTTTTATTCAACTCTGCTATTTGAGGTAATGGGGGGAGAGAGTGAAGGGGGATCCCAGATAAGTGAAAACCCAACATGTGAAGTAGTGCAGGCTGGGGCTTCACACAGTCAGCTCAGGTCCAGCACTGCATCCAGGGGCAGGAAAGCATCTCTCAGTGTCATGTGGTGGAGGAGGCAGAGCAGGGACACTGGAGCTGTTCTGCAGGATCCAGGTTGTCCTGGCAGTGCTCGGTTTAGTCCAGCACTGACAGACTCCGCTGGACTTCCTGGCTCTGGGCTCAGTGGCTCAGACTGTTGTCTGTGTTATGCCAAGCAGTCCTGGAAGCAAACAGGGCTGTGTTGGTGCACTGTGAGCTGAAGAGGATTTTGGAATCTGCCTGGCTCCACTGGGAGTTGGCTTTAGCAGGTCTCAACTGTAGCACTGCTTGCAGCCTGTTACTGAGTACACAGAACTGTGCTGTTGCCTGAATAATTTTCCTGCTTTTTTTAATATGGGTTTGTTTGTCCTTAGTCATTGCTGTATAGAAACCTTATTTTGTATTCCAGAGCACCAAAACGATGGGTTCTCATTCCTTGTTTTACACAAAGGGATAGGCATGAGAGGGAGGAAGAAGGAATGAAAGCAAACTCTAATGTACCTTTTTCCACGTTATGTAAGGGAAAGATTGAAAGAACTCTGACACCTTCTTACGTTTGCTTTTCAGGTGTCTGTGGAGATGAATTTAGTGTCTTACGATCACCTCAGTCGGTTGTTTTCCGAGATGGAAGTTGGCCCATTCCTGGCGAGCGGATCCCGGATGTCGCCGCGTTAACCATGGGCTTTTCTGTTGAAGAGGTACGTTTCAGGTCTTGGTTTTGAAACGCCTCTAGAACTACAGACCTGCTCACTCAACACAGAAATCTTCCTGTCATGAGCTGGAATATATAAAATACCCTCCTGTTTGTGTCGGGGAATGCGTGACTTGTGCGGGGTGGTTTCCGAGCAGGGAGCTGTGTCTGTCATGTGAGCAGCCAGGGGCTGTGCTGGCCAGTTTGAATCATCAGCTGTAGAAGGAAGCCTGCAGAGGCTTTACAGTTCCTCTGAGACCCAGCTGTGTGCTGTATCCCCCCATCCACGGTCACACCCTGAGTGACCCCTGTCACTCCCCACAGGGCTCTACTCTTGACTTCTCTGAGGACTGTGAGAAATGCCTTGGCAAGGCAGGCATTTTGTCAGGTCAGCAAACCTGTCTGCTGAGCAGAGTTAGTAAGAACAAGTAGGCTGGCTTATTGCTTGAGAGGTAATCCAAAGACTTGAAATCAGGATTTGTGGTAGTGTTTTCCAACGTTAAGTGTTTGGATATAGCTCTGGTGATGTTTAAAGTGGGGCACATGAGAAGGAGCCCTTGGATTGATTCCAGTCTTGCCTGCTGAATATTTTGCTGGGCTTCAGCAGGGTTGGCTGTTGAAGCAGTACCTGAAAGTGATGGCCAGGCATCTCTAGCAGTGTCTGTGTGCAGCCAGATACTCAAATCTGCAGGCTGGTGTGGGCAGCCAGTTCCCACTTTTTCCAGTCTGCAGCTAGTGAAGTGGTCTGATAAGGTTTGAATGCAGGTCTGTTTAGCCTGCCTTTTGGAATTAGTCTGAAAATATCTTGTTGTCAGTTAATTATGAGTTTTTTTGTCATCGAACTAGTAACAAACTCGTAAGAGCTGTACGCCTAAGAAGTAAATTTTGATTATTTTATAAAGAAAAAACGATGCATTGAATGGTTTTGTGTGTGTTGCACGTAAAGACACCCAGCAAAACAATAGGGTTTGGCCCATTTTGACCACTTGACATTTGGCATACTGGCTATCCAAAGATATGTCATGGTTATCCTTCACTGTGCCCTTACTGATTCATAACTGTAGTAAGCTACTAAGGAATCTCTTTGTTTCTCTGCAAATTTGTAAATTTTAGATTACTAAATTGTTGGTATGATTGACACCCCTCTCTTTTTATCCCCCTGTTTCCTTCTGGTTCTGAAAATACCAGCTGTTAGTGGTTTAGTGTGCCTAAACTTCTTTCTGTCATGTTTTGTGAAAGGGTTTGAGTTTGTTTGGTTTATTGTTGGGGGTTTTTGTGTGGTTTGTTTTTTTTTTTAATTCAGCCTTCACTTTTTAAATACAGACTATAATATTTTTAATTTAATTATGGGAGATAACTCTTCATATATTCATTATGTATAATGCTGCTATGAAGTTACTGACAGCTTTTAAATTAGGAATGTCTTCATGGTTGGCTTGAGACAGCATTACTCAAGATGAAAGCAGCCTAGTATTAACTTACTTCCTCATGAAATTCCCAGTAGGTTGTCCTGCACAGAGATATTAACAAGATAGTAAGTTATTGTGCTGTAATACTTGGGGAGGGCTCCTCTTTTTACCTGTGAAACACAGGTGGTTTTTTTAATTATTTTGTAATAGGACCTTCCCTGGCCTGGGCTTGCAGTGGGGGATCTGTTTCACAGACCACGAGCTACTGTGCTGGTGACAGTGAAGGGAGTGGACAAGCTGGCACTGCCTGTGAAGGGGTTCTCTTACCCCATTGAGAATGTGAGTATCCACAGTTGGAACTGTCACGGGATTTCCTCTGGTCTGATCACAAGTACACGATTCTCTACCATAGTCCTGGTTGTGCATTTACTTCTTACTACACTTGAGGTTCACTTGTCCCCTAAAATGATGGATCAGGCTGTATAGATCAGTAATTCGATCAGACTCCTGTACAAGGGGAGAGGCCTTCGAGAGCACCCAGGGCCTCCTGTGTTGAGTTCAGTAACTTGTTTCACCAAAGCATGTTCTCCTTGAAAGACATCTAGTTTTATTTAATATTTAATATTATTTAAAATGTTTGTACCAAGAGGCAGAGAATCCACTGCTTCCCATGGCAACTGATTCATAGTCAGAATTACTAAATTTTTTTGCTTCAAGCTGGGTTTGTGATGACATTTTATATAATGTTGATTCTTTGGTGAACTGAATCGCCCTCTTAGTGGTCTTTTGAGTCTTCCTCAAGTGCTTGACTGAAATACAGCACTTTGAGACACCATTCCATTACACTGCATCAAAAAGAAAGCAACAGACAACATTACATTCACCTACCACTGTCTGTCTTTGCTAACACTCTTCTCAGGCTTATCACAGCACCACAGTCATTTGGGTTGTAAGGGAACTCTTAAAATCATCTGGTCCAACCCCCTGATCAAGCAGGATAAACTAGAGTTGTGTTCAGTCAGGCTTTGATTATCTCCACAGATGAAGACTCCACAACCTTTCTAGGCAACCTCTGCTGGTATTTGACCATCCTTAGAGTGAAAAACTTTGTTCTTGTGTTCAGATAAAATTTCCTGGTTTTAAATTTATGCCTGGTGCCTCTTCTGTCATAGGACTTCTTCCAGAGACCTTTTAACACTACAGAGTAACTTACAAAATATTGGTAACTGTGCAGTGCCTACTCATTGTCCTTTATAATTACATAGTCTGCTGTAATCCAGTTTGCTGCAGTATTGGATGAGTTCTTCATGTTGGGCTGGTTTTTGTCCATCATGAACCCACAAACCCTTTTCAAATAAGTTGTTTTTAAGGTTATTTCTACTTAGTTAATTCTGCTGCTGCCCAACTTGGAAAGTTTTTATTTTGCACCAGTTTACCATGCATAATTATATCCTTTTAGATCATTAGGCCTTGTTTAACCTCAAAATTTAACTGGCTTTTGTCTTCCAGGCTGTTCCTTTCAGTCTTGACAGTGTTGCAAACGCTATTCATAGTTTGTTCTCTGAGGAAACGCCTGTGGTGTTGCAGCTGGCCCCCAGTGAGGAAGTGAGTATTGCTTCACTTCTGGTTCCAGATGTTCTAAATGGTTAAACCTCTTTCCACTTGTGTGGCCAGAGCAAAACCGATTGATTATATGAAATTTTGCATTGGAGAGGGCGACTGTGATTGATTATTAGTGTGTGCCTGGAAAAAACTGGAAGGGAACCTCTGTTGTCACTAAACAATGGCTGTTCCTGCAGAGGGTGTACATGGTGGGCAAGGCAAACGCCGTCTTTGAGGATCTTTCTGTCACACTGCGCCAGCTGCGGAACCGCCTGTTCCAGGAGAACTCCATTCTCAGCTCCCTTCCCCTCAACTCCCTCAGCAGAAACAATGAGGTAAAAAACCCTGTCAATCAGTGGGAACTTTTATGATTTTTTCCAAATATTCTTAGTTAGTTTGTGTTTTTTGTTTCCTCCTCCCTTTTTCTTCCTCCTTTCTTTGCCTGGGAGAGCCCACTCTTAATTTTTTCTAATGGAACTCTAGTAATTAAGTTTTAAGCAATTTTTGTGAAAGAATTATTTCCTTCTACTGTGTTCTGATGCTGTAGCAGACATGACCTGCTATAAAATACTGAGAGTTGCAATCAAACAAGACAAACTTAGGTTTCATCAAAACAAATACCTGTCCCTTTTTGCCTCTTCCCCCAGGTTGACTTGCTTTTTCTGTCAGAACTTCAAGTCCTACATGATATTACAAGCCTGGTAAGTTTTTTTGAAACACTTTCCTCATCTTTAGTCACAAACTTCAGAGATCTTTTAAAGGTAGAGAAGCTGTAACCAGCAGACTTGGCAACCAGTGATATATATTCTAGTGTGTCATCAGTTGGTTGCATCAGTTTAAAAAATGCATTCTGAAGCAATTTGTGTCAGCCCTGTCACTGCAATTGTGAATGAGAGGCATCTGTAGTGTCTTTTGTGTTGTGTTTGGTGGGAGCAGGGGGAATTCTGAGCTGCTGTTTCTCCATACCCAAAGACATGGGAAGTACTCAATGAAGAATTTTCTGGGGCTTCCTTTGTTTTCTTACTTGAGAAGTACAATGGCAGTTAAGAACATGTTCTCTGTGAAATGTGGTGGTTTTTTTTTTTTTTTAAGTAACCTGTGTATGAATTAATTTCTTTCTGCCCCCAATGGTGTGCCAAAGCTGTCTCGACACAAGCACTTGGCCAAAGATCACTCTCCAGACCTGTACTCTCTGGAACTGTCTGGCTTGGAAGAGGTTGGAAAACGGTATGGGGAAGACTCTCAGCAGTTCAAGGATGCTTCTCAAATTCTTGTAGACTCCTTGCAAAAGGTATATTTTTCTACCTAATGAACAAACTTCACGGTGATATTAAGGAAATAATTTTTTGTGCTAATGACAAGGAAGTTAAGTTTACTGACTGCCTTATGCTTTGAATTGTCACTTCATTGGTGATGGCTTGCCTGATGTTTGGTTTTTAAAATGCAGTTGTTCAGTTATAAAATCAGATGTTTTACACAGTTTGCCTCTCTGGAAGTGTTGACATGATTCTAGAATGTTTAGATAGTTTGCATAAAGGAGTGGGGTCATATTGAAACCGTGTACCAACATGACTCCATATATTTGTTTTTCTTAAATAAATACCTTGCATTTGAAACCATCAGTATGTCTCACAAAAACTGGCTCTTGGAAGTGTGGAAATGTATAAATCCAAATTTCCACGCCTTTAAAATAACTGCTGATCATCCATCAATGTGCTCAACAAAGTAATTCTTCAACAGGTCTTATGTAATCATCAGTTAAATTTTTAGTAATCATGATGGAAAAGTGTAAAAGCACCAGTTTGCTAAGCCAGAAAGCAGGCATAAGCTACAGTCTGTTGAACCATGATTGAGGAGTTTGAAAGAGGCCTTGTAAACCAGCAGAAAGTTCACACTTTGCGAGTGAAAGTCTAAAATAGTGTAGCTATTCTAAAATAGTTTAGCTTTCCGTGATTATTCCTGAAGCTGACATCTTATGTTTGACTGTATCTTGCTAACAAAACTGTGCTTAATTCCTGGCTACAGTGTAGTTTTTAATTAAATCACTTTTGCTTTTCCAGTTTGCAGATGAGATGTTTAATCTGTATGGTGGGAATGCAGTGGTAGAAGTGGTGGCTGTAAAGGAGTTTAATTCCCCCCTGATAAGGAAGTCTCGCTCCATTCTCCAGTCTTCACAGGTAGTAGAGGCCCATTTTTCTGTATCTCATTTATTAAAACTCATCCAAATTGCATCAGTTCTTCACTTGAGTGTAACTTTTTCTTTAAAGACTAAAATACTGACTATGATTTAGGCGCGGGTACACAGAGGTCAGCTTACCTACCTGCCTTGATGTTCACTTAATCATAGAGTAACTTAAGTTGAGGAGGGCTGTGGAGGTCATTTAGTCCAACCTACTACTCAGAGCCAGGACTAATCTAGGAGTTAGATCAGGCTGTCCAGTTGAGTTCCCTGAAAACTTCTTCCCTTATGCCTTGTTAGAATTTGCTTTTCTGCATTTTGTCCCCAGTGCAGCAGTGCCTGCAAGTCCTGCCTCTCAAGTGTGGGAAAACGTGTTTTCCTTGGCTTGCTGGCAGGACTCCAGACTTAGCCCAGGATGGAGTTGCCCTGTTCAGGTTGCCTAGACTCTCCATGGAGTCAGAATGTGTTGTGTGCAAGCTCACTCTGAAGTAACACAAATTTTCTTTATTACAGAGTGAGAAAGAAAATCCGTATAACCTTGCCTACGCATATAACTACAACTACTCTGTAATCTTCAACATTATTCTGTGGATGATGATAGGCCTTGCTTTAGCTGTGATAGTTATCTCCTACAACCTCTGGAACATGGATCCTGGGTATGACAGCATTATTTATAGGATGACAAACCAGAAGATAAGAATGGATTGAACCGCGCCGTATTTCAGCGCAGGAGGATGATGAGAGGAGTGAGGTCTCCTTCAAACTGTGTGGAAAACAAATGTTCTGACATGGTTAATTGTGGAAGTCTTTTAAAGGTGTATTTATTTCTTAATTATTTTTTCTCTCTCCAAGACTATTTTAAATGTTAGTAGTAGCACCAGATGGGATTTAGGAATTGAAATCTGCTTGTTTAAAAAAACCTAAAACAACAACTCCCGAAATAATTGTCATTAAAGTAACATCATTCCATTTTTTTTATTATGTAACATGAGTTTTTGAAAAGCCCTGTACTGCCTGTGACTGTGTGCAAAACAGAGAAATTGAAATTATGATAGCAACATGTTGTTTGAAACTTTTACACTGGACGATTAGAAATTATAGCTAAATTGTTGTGTTGTATATTATGAACCAGCTGTAAATGTTTGATGTAAATATTTATAATGGTTGTACGTAACTTCAGAGAGAATAGTAAATATTCTTTAGTAAAATACTAAATATAGAAATATTTCTAGAAGACTTACAACTCATTTTGATCTCATGTTGGTGGCTCAGAGGTGAGCTATACAGAGAAGGATCCTTTCCCTGGAACTTCAGTGATTTGGAGGTAAATAACACTAGTGTGGCTGGTCTGTACAGTGGAGTCTGTAAATACTGAGGTAGCATCAATCCGGTCATGGTCTGACGTCACATGCAGTTGAAAGTTCCTGTTATGATGGTTCATGTTCCTTCCATTTGTGTTGATGTTGTTATAAAAAACCCCACCAAAACGATTCTTTTTGATGAGAAGAGTGGACCAACACTTGATTTAAGTATACCTGGATTATAGTCCTGCTTCAGCCATTCAATAAAGCAAAGAACAGTTGTTCTTGAATGCATTTATTCTTTGTGGCTTCATAGGTGTGGCTACTTCTGTTTAGTATTTATTCAGCTGTCTAGGGCAGGTTCCAGCAGCATCCAACGTGTGACAGTGGCCCTAAGCCTGTAGCAGTTTAGTTTTTAACTGTCCTTCAAAAGAAAGATGATCCTGTATGGATTAATTTTCCTAAACCAAATAGTGAGTGTATTTAAAAAAAAGTGGTTGATCTCTGGGTTGAATCTTTTGTACAACTACCTAGTTTTTAGAAACTCATTTGCTCTTGTGATAAAGGGAGATCTTCCAGATACAACAGCGTGAACGGGAACTACTTTTTGCTTCTTATTGTCCTCTAATGTGCTCAACTTTCCCAGAAAAGATCTGCTCATTGAATTACTCTGGGAATTTACTGGGAATATCTGTCTGAATTGGTGGCCTTGAAGTTTCTCATGTCTTGGAGGTCCTGGAGAGCGATTCATGTGGAATTGAGCAATTTTCTGCAGCTTTGCCCGAGTCCAGGAAGTCCAGCTCAGTATATGTTACAATTATTTGACATAATTTTTAATGGCATTTAAAGTTAATCTGGATGATTTGTATCAGTAGATAGAAGGGGAGAGTTGCACTGCCAGTTCCTCTGACGAGAATGTGTGCTCTAATTACTGAACACTCTCTAATGTGCTTGTAGCAAAGCAGTCAAGGGAAGGCTCTTGGGCAGGTGTGAGAAGTAGGACACAGTGATTATGTGGATGATTATGTTTAGATTTATTGCTAATACACTATCTAAATATTGCCATTGCAGTATCTAAGTAACAACTCTATAGTCTGTAACAACAGATTATAGTGTCCTCAGGTTGTGGTCCCTCCTGTTGAGTCACAAGCTTCAGTGAAACCCCCTCCCCTTGCTCTCTAAACCTCTCTGAGAAGTCTCAGTGGGGTTAGGGCCGTGCAAACTCAGGTTTGCTCAACAACTTGTGTCTAAAGGGTTACAATATCAGCAGGATCAGCTGGAAACCTGCATGTTTACAGTCCTTGGCCTTCCAGAATTCACAGTTGCAAAGCAACAAAGCACCTATGGAGCTACTTGAGGATTTTATCTCCCTATTTGACCTTTACTCACCCATCCAAATGTGAGTGTTCCCTGTCTTCGGGCTGCAGGGGTGGGGAGGGGGCAGCACAGCGGGATCCGCTTGGAAGCTGCCTGCAAGTTGGGGACACCTTTTGTTCTGTTGGCTCCAGTCTCTACAGGCTGATGGGCACAACAATTGCCAACATCACAGCTCCCCCATCTCTGGAATGCGTGAATTATGCAAACATGCGGACAGTTCCTCCTGCACTTCCCACCTGGAGTTGTCACCTTAGGACAAATCACACTGCCCATCCAAAGACTGCAAGGGAGCAGCGGATGTTGTGGAGGCAGTATGTGAACCTGGCTGTCTTTCCTTGTGCCACACACACTTGCAGTGTTTCCATGAGAGTCAAATCCATCAGATGAAGCTGTACAACTGTATCAAAGCAATTAAAACACAGCTCTGTCATCCCAGTTGGTAGGCCTGAACCCTAACGTTTTACATAAGCTATTATGTGGTAATGACTGCTTTGAGATCACTTAATATGGAAGGCAGTGCCCCAGAACTTCAGCAGGAATCACGATCTAAGGTAAGAAAGGGGGTAGTAATTAGTGGAAGAATCTTTCCAACTGAACTATACCTTGGAAAAGTGATGTATTTGGCAGGAGGGAAGAACGACCGCTGTCAGGTTCTGTTACAGGAAAGGAGAGAAAAAGAGGCTAAAACACGTGACACATCTACCATCTAGTACTAGGACTCCCAGTGCTTTTGCAAGATTAGACTGTCTGGGCTGTGGGTTCTTCATTTCAAATAATGAAAATTATTCTATAGGCTTTTTGGTGAGGAGTTACTTTGACTTGCTGAGCTTCTTACTGGTCTATATTGAATTCATGCATCCCTAGTTTACTTAAATCAAGGTTTAGTCAGATTAATAGTCCAGATACTGGTGCAGTTTTACAGGGGCAAGTTTTAAAGTGACTGTTAATTAATGAAAAGTCTTTAACAGCTGTATTTTAATCAGTTTGAAGTTGGCAGTATAGACTTGTTTAAATGCAGGACCTGCTGTTGAGATGGTCATTCTGTCAGCTCTCTTCTAGCTGCTCCTTTAGGCTCTAATTTTACTTTTCAAAGCAAGTCCTTGACTGCTTTGAAGGGTGAGTTTGAATTCCCATTTCTCCTGTTAGTACCACATTTGTTCATTCTCATGCTGTAGGCATCCAGATGGTACTAGAGGTGCTTTTGAGCACTGTCATGTGTGCTGTGCCTTAAATACAGGTTGCTTCATGCAACACAAGCTCCTTTTTGAACCATTTTAAGGCCCTGTGCTTTAGTTTGAACTAGGTAAGCCAGACATGTTTTACTGTGCAAAATATTGGTCCATAACTGCTCATCCAACAGGCAATTGCAATCCTGATCGCTGGGCCAGGAACAGCCTTGAACTCAGAATTAATTAGAATGGAAGTGCTGTCAACACCATGAGACCTGCTCTTGATGGTTCTCTTTAAACATCCCAAGAATTACAACTTTTAAAAATATTTATGTGATGGGGCAGAAATCACAGGTTTTGTGTACGGTGCTACGAGGAAAGCTACAAAAACTGTCACATGAAGCTCTCTGAAGGAAGGCAACAGTGAGAGGCCAGGGGAGGGAGAGGATGCAAGGAAAATACAGCCTGGATTGGGATCCTGTGTGGCCAAAGTGAGAAGGGCAGGAAGGCCATTACACAATATTAATCAGCAAGCAGCTTTGAGCCAGGCTGGGGAAGGCTCCATTTAGTTCTGTCTGTGGGATTTAGGATGTCACTGCTGCATGAGTCGTCACCAAAGAGAGTGTTTTCCTTGGGTGAGGTGTATTTGATGGGGTCTTCTTCAGACCCTGGGCTTACATTGTCCAGTATTTGGCTTGGGGAGTACCTGGAGTGGGGGTAGCTGTCCTCCAGAAGTGCTGACGTCTCTGAAGGAGAGAATTCTGAGTCACCACTGAAGACTGAGCATTGCTTTTGATGTTTAGACTGAAAAGAGAAAATAAGCCATAAAACAAAGAGTTCTTTTAAGAGTCAGTATGCTGCTTTTTCCAGATAATCCCCCAAAGTCTTAACTTGGCAGAGGGAGGTATAATCGGCCTTTGCATGTTCCTCAACTTTCCAGGCTTCTCTGTGGCAGGTGTGGCAACTTTCAGAGTTCTTCCAGCTGTAGCAACACACAGGCAAGGGCAAGCCTAGAGCAGATCTGAAATGTGGAAATGATATGTTCCTGTCTGCAAGAAGGAAGGGGAAATGAAGAAACCACGTTGAAATGCAAATGTTGAGCAACCTGGCAATTGGTTGCTGGGATTTACAGGTCAGGCTTGATGGAAATGATGAGGACACTGCCAGAGTGTAACCTAAGGACATAAGCATCTATCTCAAAACTAAACAAGAAGCCCCACAACAATGATATTTTGGGTCCTCTACTGGCACAGTTTTGGGCTCTGGTGTATTGGGTGCTTTGAGCTAAAATTCACAAATGATCTCTAGAAAAAATTAAATTTTTTGCTCAAGTAAGATTTGGGGACTGTCCTGCATTTTTTACTTTCTCTTCTGCAGGCCCTGAACCACATTCTTAAGAATTTTCATCTGTGTAGGGGAGGAGGGAGTGGATACCCACACAAGTATTGCAGGACAGAAAATGAGAGAAATCAAGGAAAACAGAAGTGGATCTACAGGATTTCAAATCCAGCAGAACAAAAGACATTGGGGAAAAAGAGAGAAGTTTTTGTCACTAATGCAAGGTGTAGCTGTGGAGGAACTAAGTTGTAAAGGGCTTTTACAGCTCATGGTGTGAAGATGGAAGAGGAATTAGTGGAAGCAGGAACAGAGTACACAGAGGCCATATCCCAGAACAGAACATAAATCCTCACCTTAGATAGGGACTTGCCTTGCTAGTGTGCATTCAGAACTTAAAGAGGTTCCTCTATTGCTGAAGAGTGGACATGCACCAAAGGACCCAGGCAATCAAATTTAGTATTGCCATTGATGTCACCCATCACCAAAAATACATAGCTAAGTTCTTGGCAGGAATGCACATCATAAAATATTTAGAATGTTTCATAAGGGAAACAGAATTCACAGTTGCACAAAATTATAAAGGCAGTCAAATTTCCACTTAATTATACTCCAGTGCATGAATTCATGATGACAAATCTACATGCCCTTAATCTAGTGAGCACATCTAGTTTTCATTGGGCCGTGGGGCACAGTGGCTAAGATCAATTCACAGTAAATCAGCTGGTACCTTATGGCCAGCACTATTAAGGCATTGCCTTGAACAACTTCAGTGCTGCCAACCTGCCAATCACCCCCTGCATTTTCAGTACTTCTTTACAATGCCATGGTCAAAGTACCTGAGCAATTGATACAAAAAAAAATCTGCTGCAACACCTGAGTGATCAATTGGAGCATTTGAAACACTGCAGAGCTAAATGGGAGCTCCACCCTACAGTAGGTGATCAATCAAAGTCTTGACTGTGGTACAGCATCAGATTGGAAGGAAAAAACCAGCTCTCAACGATTTCTGCCATTTTTGGTCTATGCTGTAGCAAAAGAAAAAAAAAAAGAGGAAGAAATACATAAAAACATCTGTACCAGTTATTTTACGTGGACCTATCCCAATATTTCAGCTGGCTGACAGAGCCAAGAGGAGGCAGCTACACTTCAGTGTCAGTGCTTCCCGTAGTGGAGCTGCAAACTCTGGAGCACCTCTGACTGGGGCAGCCAAGCCCAGGAAAGTCATCAGCTAAACAGGTGAGTCTGTGTAACCTCTGCCACCTCGGTGAATGTGCAGCTCTCCCCTCTGGAAATCTTCAGGGAGCTGTGCCCTAGGGTATGACGGATGCCCTCGGGAGCAGGGAGGCTCTGCTGCACAGCTGAACGCTGTTGTATTTTCCAGGTGAGCCTGATGGCACCCAGATGGTCATAACTCTGGGTAACCTGACAGGAAAATGGGCTAGAAAAAGGAAGTTCAGTCAGCTGTCAGTCATGCAGAGCAGCAGGAGGGGTGAGGAGGCTTAATTGGAAACAGCAAAATTAAGCTCTCTCCATGTATGAAGGGATGTGGATCTCTTTCCTGCACGTTTGCACACACACACATACACGGTGTTAGTTTGGTCTTTACAAATGAAAGGGAAAAAGTTTCCTCTCCCCCCATGAAAAACAGTACTTTTATTAAGTGAAAGTATTTTTAAAATAATTTCCATATTTTAAAAGAATTTTTTTTAAAACGTATGCTCAATATTTTGTAAATATGAGGATTTATGAATCTCAGGAGGCGAATAGGAACACATCCACCTGAAAAGATGTTCAGTAAGAACATCTGCAGGAAAACTGTGCCTGTACCACTAACAACCCAAAGGTGATGCTGATTAGCAGAAGTTGGCTTTGATGCCTGTTACTTATGGAGAAAATCAAAATAACCCCTCAAAAATAAGCACAAGTTAATTAGGAAATTAAGCATCATGAAGAGAAATAGCATAACGGCCTCAGTGTCAACCTGCAGCACAGTGGTCATTTTAATTTTGGCTTTGTCTCTTAACTACTGTGTTTTGTCCAAGGGAATGGAAGAGTCAGCACTAAAGGGAATACAGAGGGAGTCACAGGGGACAGGCACAAGACTGAAAGAAGTGGCAGCCCCCAGCCCACTTCTACCTCCTCACACTGCCCCGTGGCCCAAACGGCAGTGGAAAGCCTAAAACTTTAGAAAGTGGTTTCAGGGCAGTGCTGTCTCCGAGTCTGCCTCCCCTGCTCCTGTGGAGCAGCTGAACTGACAGACAAACTGCTCCATCCCGGGAACATCCCTTGGAAAAGCAGCCTCTGAGATGTTGCAATAGGAGTCGTGCTCATGTCATGAGACCAGCTTCCTGTCCTGAGCAGACTGTCCAGATCTGAACACCACAAACAACCATTCTGCGTTTTAGTTCCTCCTCTGCTCTCTTTTTTTCTTCCTTTTTTGCTTTTTAATTTGTCCCTCCCCACCTCCGTTAACCCAGAGGTTCCCAGGAATTCATCAACACGGGAGTCACGTTTATTTCTTCTTTCCACTTCCATGCCACAGACCTGAATCTTAACAAATTCCACAGCTGCTGGAATATTCAGATTGTTTGCCATGGTGAAACAAGTCCCACTTTCCATCACTTCCACTCTTGTGTAGGAGTCATTGGTTCCTGTAGCCTACAAATTAACTATTTGGCAGAGGAGTAAGAAATATGAAAAGCTAAAGTCTTTAAATACTATTGCCTGCCAAATTCCTTTACGAAATGTCCCTGTAACATGCAGCATAACCTTAGCTGGAAAATAAACATATTTGCATTCTTAGTTCCATTTTTTTTTTCTCCTCAAACTCTTCCTCTCTGGTCTCTGTTAAAATTTGGTTTTGGCCATGCTTCCATTTTTCAAAGCACTGTGGCCTCTGCACTCCTGTCCTTCAAAAAGTTCTTTATAATCTGCATCTCTTGCAAACATTGGAGTAGCACAAATAGATGGTGGAACGATGTATTACTACATAAAGTGCCTCATTTTTCTGATGTCTAATGTGAAAATAAACCAGAAATAAACTGCCCTGCTTTGCCACACCACTGACCCAGCTGCCTGTGGCACAAATTATTCATCCTCTCACTCAGAGTCATAGAATTATGGAATCATTTAGGTCGGAAAAGATCTTTAGGGTCACCAAGTCCAACTGTTAACCCAGCACTGCTGTGTCCACCACTAAACCATGTCCCCAAGTGTCACATCTACACATCTTTTAAATACTTCCAGGGATGGTGACTCCACCTCTTCCCAGCCTGTTCCAGGGCTTGACAATCATTTTCATGAAGAAATTTTTCCTAATATTCACTCTAAACCTCACCTGGCACAAGCTAGGGCCATTTGCTCTCATCCTGTCACTTTTTACCTGGGAGAAGCGACCAGCCCACAGCTCGCTACAATCTCCTCTCAGGGAGTTTCAGGGAGCAACAAGGTCTCCCCCAAGCTTCCATTTCTCCAGGCTGAACACCCCCAGCTCCCTCAGCTGCTCCTTGTGGCCTCTGTGTTCCAAACCCATTTTTCTTCTCTGGACATGTTCCAGCACCTCAGTTTTGTAATTTACATCCATAACTGAACATCTTATTGCATGTGGAGTCCCCCCTACCAAAAGAGGGAGTCAATCTCAGCTGTCCTTGCCCTAATTTTTGGCTGTGTCCCACAGCACCTACCCCAGGACAGCCTGAACCCTCCCTGGCAGCTCCCCTGCTGCCTGCACACCCAGGAAAGGTGGGAGCAAGGGTGCTGAGCCTTGTTAGTGAACATGGACTAGAGTAAACTAACACTGAATAAAGTGCCATCCAATGTTCGTGGTCAGGAGAAAGCAATTTCCCAAGATTGCAAAGTTTTCTTTCATTCTACAGTGTTGAAAATCAATTTGCAAACCTATAATCAAGTTGTCCATGAGAGCAGTGAGGTTGCCAGGGACACCAGCTTTGAGGAAAACCTGCTCTGACCTGGCAAACCTGGGAAACTCCCCCTACCAGGCAATTCCTGGGAGCAGGATCAGCCTGTGCAGTGGATACGTGCTGGGGGGCGGTGCTGGACCACATCCCTGTGCTCCAGGAGAGTTCCAGCAGACAGACAATAAAATTTCTGCTGTATCCAACACTGGAACACTGAAAGGATTTCTTCTTGTTTTTGGTGCTGAGAACACAGGGAAAGTGAGTTTCCATGTCAGAGGCAAATTTATAAAGATAATTTGTGAAGCGCAGCAAAGGTTCTCAGGTTAAAGTCTTTGAAATGCCGAATTTTGGCAAAGGAGAGCTGATGGTCAGGATGGGGAGGGATGGAGGAAGGACCACGCACTGGGTGGACACTTCCTCAGAGCAGACAAGGGGAATGGAAGCAGAAAACCCCTCCCATACAGCATCTTGGTTTTGAAATACTGAAAATATCCCATCTGAAGGGATACTTCTGTGCCCCTACTGAGTACACACAGTGCCAGAGAGGAAGTAACTGTGATATAATAAATAGTTAAAGGGAAAAATATTTATTTTCATTTTCTTATGGATCCAGGTATGCCCCAAGTAACTATGAGGTTAAAAGTACTTATAGAAATTTATAACCTACTACAAATTTTAGGAAAATATGTGTAATGCAGAGAAAGCTAGGCTGGAGGGTATTTTCCCCAGAAAAATAACACTTCCATTTAAAAGAACATTTCCACTGTCATTATAAGAACTGCTGTTTAAAACAACAACAACAAGAAAAAAAAAAACAAGAACGAAAAAAATACCCCACTTGCTAAAGGTAAAATTAGATTTGTTCTATCAAATAATCTGTGGCAATAGAAGACTGGGGGAGAAGGAAATGACATCTGCTAAAAGCTTGTTTTTAACTCCAGATCTGTGGAGCAAAACAACCCAGAGCTGTGCAGGGAGCAGGGCTGGAGGAGGCTGTGAGCCAGACAATGGCACAGACTGCTAAACCCAGAGTCTTATTTAGAGCTGGGAAATGGAGTTCTGACAGCACAGTTTTTGTAATTGCATATCCAAAATTCAGGTCAGAAATTGCCTACATGGGCAGCCTTGGTTCAACCGGACCCCAGCTATTATTCACCTTTTTGTTTCCAGGGCTCCCACGTCATCTTCTACCCAAAGACTTCAAGATGCAAGAATGAAATACAGGTAAGAGAAAAGAAATAAAGACCAAATTTCTCTGTGTAAAACATCATCAAAGCAGACAAAGACAGCCACATTTGGGATAAGGCTGCAATGTCCAGCAGATGGGTTCACCCAAAGTAAAAATTGTGTGTGTGTGTGAGTGTATGTCAAGCATCCTTCCACTGCTGGAAACTTAAGGGTTAAACACAACTTCCTTTCCCCCTGTGTTCAGAGCCACATTTTAAAAAAAAATAATAACATTTTTTCCCCCACAGTGAAAGTGTTTATGGTGTTCAAGAAGGTTCTGTCCAGCCCCAGGTCCAGACCTGCTCTTGCCAAGACAGGTTTCCTCCTGTGCTCCTTCAGGTGCCAGCCAGGAACAGGCTCCTCAGGACATCTCTCGCTCAAGAGGACACGTGAATTAATTCTCCAGGGTTGGCCTGTTCCTGCACAGCTCACAGGATCTTCATTTCATCAGCTTCAACCTGCTCTCTGCCAATCCCTGAACTCGGCTGAGCCCCCACATTTTAGCACATGGGACATTCTGGCAAAGATTTGGGATGGAGGATGCTGCTTTTATTTGCGGAGGGTGCTTTGCTGGGGCTGGGTTTTCACCGCTGGAGAGGGAGGATGTGAGTTTTTGGGTGTGTGAAGATAAAGTCTCTGGGTAGGCACTAACAGAGGGGTGAGCAGCCACCACCAGAGCCTACAAGCCGGGCTTTGAGCCAGAGGGGGAGCAGACCCTGGGGAGACAGGATGGTGGCTTTTATCATTCACGTGAAGGTGCTAATCCCTTCTGATGGGGCATGACTGATTCAACTACGCTGATGTAGGAGGCAGCTGTCACGTCTTGGAAGGTGTCATAAAGCATCGAAGACCCCCAAAGTGCCCCCAGACTCATTTCTGGGGCCTTCTGCCAGAGGAATGCAAGCGATCCAAAAGTGTTGTAACTGATTCACAGTGTAAAACTCCCTACCCTGGTGGGCATTGCTTCAGTGTTCCCACCTGAACCTGAACATTTATTAACCCATCAGACTTTGCGTTTCATGGGCTTCTACCACCCCCAGCGGATCAAGACTGCAATCATCACTTGGACCAAAAGACATCAGAAGCGCAACAATCAAGTCTCGTCAGGGGATCCATGGGTGGTGAGATCTTTCCACTCTTACCCTTTCTTTGTCTTGCTTGCTTGCTTGCTTTTCCCTCATACATTTTCTGAAGCGATATTTTTATGCTTTTACACTATATATGTTACAATGGATAATAACCAAAAAGGCTACATACCTCCTTTGCATTGCAACCACATTGCTCTAAAATAAACCCTACACACACACACACACACATATATATGTTTATATATATGTATATATTTTTATATATATATATGAGCACTCATTCAGTGTTGTTTCACTCTAACCCACCCCAGGAATGGCTGCTGGAGCACTGTGATGGTGGGGAACACAAGAGGGTTTTTTTCCATGGCAGCTGCTGCCAGAAGAGCTGCTCAGTGAACAGCTTCTCATACGGCGTCCTGACAACTGAGAGCTGAACTGGAAAACTTGAACCCAAGAGTGCAGAGTAGGTGGAAAGGGCAGAGCTGGGTTCAAACACGGGTTAGGTCTCAGCTAGGAGCTGGCAGCTCTTCTCTGGGCACTGAGGTGACAGCTGAGCAGGGCTCATGACTGAGCTGGGCTCGACCAGCTGCTTCAGTGAGGGGGGAGGATGTCTCCGTAGCTTTTGGAGTTACACTTCAGTTCTCACACAGTACTGTTATTAAAACAGCTATTTTAACATAACCAAATCCCTAGGAATCAGTCAGCTTTGCAGGCTGTCCAAATAGGCATTTTACCTCTTCTTTTTTTCTTCAAGCTCATTGATAACACATGTACACAAACACATCTTTTCTTTGCGTTTTCCCTGTCCTTCTTTTGATGGGAGGATCGAGGATAAATGGAATTAAACAAGATGTAGTCTGTCCTGCTGGCTGATGTTTTACACAGATCAGCAAGTCAAAGTGTTGGCTTTTATTTCGTAACACCAGTGCGTGATTATTGCAGTGTTCAGAGCTGTGGAATAGCTTCTGTGGGGGTGCACACAGAGTGAACAGTGGGGCTTCTCAGCCTGTGCATGGAGATCACAACACATTCCTAGACTACAGCACGTCAGAAAAAGAGGCCTGATAATAATGAGTATAATGAAGAGAGGAGTGGTTTGGAGGGCAGCCCTGCAGGATGGGATCTGGGGGAGCTGGTTGGCAGCAGCTCATGGTGAGTCACCAGTGTGTGCTCTGACAGCCAGGAGAGCAAAACCCATCAGCAGACACGGCATAAGCAGATGGTCAGCAGCGATTATCCCACTGTACTCTGTGTTAGGCCCTACCATCTAAGGATGTTGAAGTCCTTCGAGTGTGTCCAGAGGAGGGCAACAAAGCTGGTGAAAAGGTTGGAAGGAATGTCCTGTGAGGAGAGGCTGAGGACTTTGGATTTATCTCCTTTGAATCTGAGGTTGACAGGAGACCTCATGGCTCTCTGCAGCTTCCTGAGGAGGGTACACCGAGAGGGAGGTGCTGATCTCTCCTCCCTGGGATTCAGTGACAGGATGTATGGGAACAATTCAAAGCTGCATCATTAGAGATGTTTAGACAACATTAGTAAACATTTCTTTACTGGGAAAGTAAAAGTAGTCAAACATTGGAAGAGACTTGCTGAAGAGGTGGATGATGCTGCAAGAAGGGAATTTGGACTATGCCTTAACATGATTTAACTGAGCTGGTCAGGTAGTTGGACTAGATGAATCCTTGTGGGCACTCTCTTAACTGAAACAGTCTATCCTATCCTATCCTATGTAACCTCGAGGAGCAAAGCAGGAGCTCAGGTACAGGGCAGCACCAGAGGCACCACCAGCAGTTCCCAGCCCTGTTCCAGGCTGGCTCTGTCCCTGCTTTATATTTACATTGCAGAGATCTGTGCCAAAAGCACAGCAGGACCCAGGCTGGCCCCCCAGCTGCCCCCTCCCTCCTTCTGCTGCAACATCAGCTTCAAAGGGCGGGGATGCTTTTCTCCGTGTCTTTTAAATGCTGCTTTGCCAGTCTGCTTTCAACACCACTTGTCCAGGAGGAAGCTGGACTTGATGGATGATCACAGAGGTCCTTTCCAGCCTGGCTGATTCTGTGATTCTATGATTCTGTGATTCTAAGCACATCCCCAGGCACGGCAAAGGAGAGGGAAGGAACCCCTTCTGGCCTGAACCTGCTCTGCCCTGGGAGCTGCCTGCCCTAACACAGGGAATGGACGTCAGCAAAACCCTTCCCTGCCCCAGAGCAGTCAGTTCACAACTCCCTTTTTTGTAGTTTCTGACAAGCTCTTCCTTAGACTCTGATCTCCAAAAGAGAGTCCCACGCGCAGCTGAAATTCCCACTGCTCAGGTAGTTTCAGTCTCGATAATGGCCTTCCTAAGACACGTGTGGTGGTGGTGGGAATCATAGGGGGAGTAAACCCAGTCCATGACAAGCCTAAACATGATTTTCCCCCGTTTTCCCACAGCACTTGCTGACGCCGGTGGCTCCTGGTTGTGTGCAGCAGGTCTCCCAAAAACTGAGCAGGGGATGCTCCAGAGGCTCTGCCGCCACCGCCTCCAGGGGCCCCTCTGAGCTCCATTTCCAGGGGCAGGAATTCAGGCTTAAGCTGCTGGAGCTTTCGGTGTTCCTGCCTCCAGCCAACGGGAGCACAACCCTTCCCCACTCAGCCTCTCTTATCTTCCAGAGCAGCAGCCCGACATTTCCCGTCAAACCTATTCAGAGGGGTCATTTCCCAGAGAAATTAATTACTGCTCTGGGAGAGGGACGTGAGGGGCTGGGAGTACACGGGCAGAGCGTCACGCAGTGAGGGGGTAGCACAGCACCCGCTTCCCGGGCGTGTGATGCTCCTGGAGCCAAAGCTGAGGCTTCAAAACATTCCCCAAAAAGAAGGGTCTACCCGCCGAACGCCAAAGCACCAGCGGCTGTCGGAGCGTCTGAGGGAAAGCGACGCAGATTTGAAGTCCAAGAGGATTTAATCTAAATGTGAACGTCTCCGTTATATTGGTGTTATGGGGTTACACAGCCACAGCTTTGTAATTACAGCCTAGATGCTACATACAGTTAATGCAATTCAACTACACGTTAATTTATTGAAATACATTCTTACCTTAAAATCATTTGAAATTCTGCAGTAGGTGGAAAATTTGGGCCGGGAGAACAACTATAACCTTGAGCTAAAATAACCACTGTAGCACAACTTATGAAGTGACACCTTTAACAGATTAATCACAAATCTGAATAACATGACCCAAATATTCTCCCAGTAGTCTATTTTTCATACAGAAGATTTTGCTTTCAGATGCCTGCTAACCACTTCTAACTGACAGATGAAACCGAGCACATGCTTAAAAGACAAACTGTAGCTCGTAAAGAAAAACAGCTTCTGGTTTTATGGAGCTTTGTTTTGTCTCAGCAGTTGATTATCAGAACTTGTTTCCTGCAGCCTTTGCAAACTCAGTTAAATATTTGCAGTCTCAAAGGACACTCAAACGTGTAAGGATAACAAGTAATTTAAACTTAGTTTCAAATGAACAACACCCCCCCTCAAACCTTACCTTGATTCAGCTCTTTGTCTGAGTGTTTGTAAGGCTCAAAAAGGCTTCTCCACTCTTTCCATATTGAGGAAACCTTTAACAGGATCAGTATTTGTTACCTGGAAAGCCACAAAGCCTGTGGTTGCCATCTGGGATGTTTTTTTTGGATACCTAAAATGTGTTCCCATCTGAGCCCGGCTAACACTGCTATGCCAAAGCTGTGGATCAGCTCAGAACTGCTATTTTTCCTCTGTATAACTCAATTCCCTCATCCTTGTCCCACAGGTGGGTTGATGAGAAATCCAGAAACATCTAGAAATACGTGGAGTCACTGCAGTACTTTTAATGAAATAAATGGGCAAACAAATCTCCTGTAAGGATGAAAATCTACAAAAGGTCCCACTGCAGCAGGTGGGTACATCATCTGGTCACCAGAAAAACAGACTGAACACATGGAAGATTAAACTTCACCCTGCACTTGTAAATACACACAGTCATCGCCTTGAAAGGAATGTGTGTCTCTGGTCAGTGGGAAATGCTTCTTTTTACTACTAATGTTTTTCCTTAAGAATTTAATTATTTAGGAGAAAGGTTCAAAATGTGGTGTGTATCAGAAGTGGTGTGGGTAACATAAAATAAAACTCAATCTGCCCATCACCTCAGGTTTGGAGTGTCAGTCCACAACCCTCTGTCAGTACAGACGTGTTTTGTTT